TTAGTGACACCAATATAATTTTTATTAATGTCTAGTTCATGATTTTCATATGGAATCCTGTATTACTCCTGCTCTTTTTTCTTTATCTGTGCTGTCTTTGTCGTTCCTTAATAATTTGTACAGGTTAGGAGCTCTCTTGAAAATTAACTTGGACTTTTTGCGGGCTGAGATTTCCTTTATGATGGCTTTTCTCTTTCTATCATAAGTGAACATTGTGATTTTGCCGAAATCGCCGTTTTGAGCCTTAGTTTTGGTTTATTTTGTAATTTCTGATCAATGTTGTTATCATATCTTCTCTGTACCCTAGAGACCTGGCAATATGTAATATTCTATTAATTTCTTTTTGCCAATCCACCACACTACTGCAATAGAGAAAGGCCCTTTGGACAAGGGCACGGAAGGCAGCCATTTTGTATTGGTAAAGATCATTAGAGTGGGACGGAATGTACAGAGGGCTATGCATCGGTTTTACGTACACATTAGTGGCCAAATGTCCTTCTTTAAATTCAATGTCAACATCTAAAAAATGTATCCGTGAGGCACATTTCTGTTCAATCTTCAGCATGAGACCATCATCGTTGTTCTTGATCATGTTAATAAACTCATCAATTTTTTGGTCATTCTTCCAAATCATCAAGACATCGTCAACGTGTTTTTTAAAATACACAATGTCATTTAAGAAAACAGAAAGAGCACTTTTTCCAATTTTCTTAATACAAGCTCACACAAAAGTCGTGACATGGGACTTCCCATAGGGACTACTCTTTTTTTGTCTGTACTGATGACCATTAAAGGCGAAAAAAGATTTATAAAAAATAAGGTTAGCTAGTTCTATAAAATCATTATTGTAACATGCCAAATCTGGGCTCTTGCTGTGCATGAAATCTAAAAGTGCTACCCTGCATGATTCAATTTTTATAGATGGGTATAAACTTTCATAGTTCATCACTGTTCCAATTTCATCGTCCATTAAAATTAGATTTTGTATCTCATTAACCAAATCCCTTGGATCATGTACCACATGTACATTATTCTCGAGGTGCGAGGTGAGAAACTTATGTAATCTCTTTTCAAGAATAAACGTTGGTCCTCTGCACCTTTCCACTACAGGCCTCATTTCTTTACCCTCTTTATGGATCTTGGCAAAAGCAAACAATCTCGGCATACTTTGCCTGGGATTTCGACAATTTTTGAGGAAAGGTAATGCATTAGTGAGCTTAGCTTTTTCAAGCTTCTTAACCCTTCTGTCGACGCTGTCAATAATCTTGGCTTCAACACTCTCGCATTCGGTTTTTTTTTTTAATATAATCCTCCAATAAGTTATTATATCTGTCTTTTCATGATTACCAAAGTTTTGCTTTTGTCTGTTCTTGTTGCATCCAAATCATTTTTTCTAAGCCAACATTTAGTAAGTTTGATGTACTGTATTTACCGGCATCATATCCTTTCTTCCAAGTCGTCTGGTCTTTTCTGATAATTTTCCATCGGATGTATTCTTTTTCTAAAGAATCTAGCCCAGATATTCCTCTTTCTATTTCCTGGATTGAAGTTTCCCATGAACTTGATTCATGGGAAACTTCAATCCAGTTTCCCATGAACTTGATTCATGGGAAACTTCATAAAACACCAGACGACTTGAAAAAAAATGTGATGCCGGTAAATACATCAAACTTACTAAATGTTGGCTTAGAAAAAATGATTTGGTTGCAACAAGAGCGGACAAAAGCAAAACTTTGGTAATCATGAAAAGACAGACATATAATAACGCATTGGAGGATTATATTAAAAAACCGAATGCGAGAGTGTTGAAGCAAAGATTATTGCAAATCTTAAACAATATTTATTAATTTCAGAATTGTTATCATAGCAACTTTAAAAATGATGTAAATATATTAGAAATGCAGTTTCGGTTATTAAAAATTAAAACAAACTTAAATAACTTATATTTTCGTTTTACTTATATCAAACTAGGACATCGCGCGATTTGGCGTATCGCGATAGAATTGAAGTGGAGCCGGACGGAAAGAAGCCATCTCTGCACCCAAGGGCGGATCTGCATAGGGACTAATAGGGTTTAAGCCCTATTAGTCCCTATGTCACCCAAGTGTCAAGGACCCACAAAAATTGAATTATTATCATAAATACCTTTTCATAAATCATAATGAAAAAATATTAAAATAATTTTAAGTGAGCACTTACCATATAGTAAAAAATAGTTAATATCAATAATATAATAATAATGATAATTTATAGTATTATTCGTATTAAAAAAATGGGGCCCCATTGGACTTCAATAAGCCCTAGGCTCGGAAAAACCTAGATCTGCCCCTGGTTGCGATGGCCACGCATTTGGTGGAAGTTGCCAACCTTAACGTCCAAAAGACTTCATATGACTTGTTTAAATAAAAAAAAATCTTGTAAAAATAAGAGAGTAATTGCTTTTAATTAAGTAATCCCGTAAAGAAATGATGAAACCAGGTTGAAAAAGTAAAGCTCAGAAAAAACATTTAAGTAGAGGAAACTTTTGACAATAAGACTCGATATGTGAATAAAGTGCGCATTGCACAGACTACAATTACAGAAAATTTTGAATGAAGCAATGTCGCCACGATAATAAATAGGAAAAATAAACTTCAGCACAGTAAAGACTTCGAGCTGTACTTTCTGACTTGATTTTACTAAAATGTGTTTTGTGTATAGTTTGAAACAAACAAAAATCAGTAATTTTACCAAATTAGTAACAACTAATGATTGAGAATCTTAGTGAAATACCGACGGGGGTTATTTCTATAAGTTGCAAAATCCACGCGGACGAAGCCGCGAGTACAGCTAGTTAAATATAAACACGTTGCTATTGTTCATGTGAAGAAATCAATCATAGGTCAAAAGCTTTACCATATGATTTTTCTAGATATATATTATTTAAAATACTTTAATTAATATCTTACAGCATTAAGTGAATGCAAAATTAAAAAAAAATAATTTTTCAATTTTTCGGTCATTTTTAGACACACGCGCGTCATTTTTAATGTCATATACAGTAATATCCCGAACTTACGCGATAGGTGGGACCCAGCGATAACCGCGTAAGTCGGGGTATAATTTCGCATATAAATACATACAAATAATTTTTAATTGGGGCCGGAGACTAAAGAAAACAATAATTTAGAAAAAAATGTTTAATAAAATCTTAAATAATACATATGTATAACAAATTAGGCCTATATTATTTTACAATTTTTCACATTTACTTGATTATTACGCTATAATTTTAACATTATTTCCATCTCAGCGATAATACTGTGACATTTACGAATGATGCTCGAATTTAAAGATTGAGCATTTTTCACAGCCTTGAGAATTTTTTCTTTGCCTTTTATAATTGTTTTGACCGACAATTCCGGTAGATCAACTTCTTTGCCAATTGACAAATTTTCATTTTTGTATCGAAGTCTTTAATAATGGGTACGTTCNCTCGGCAGTGTATTACTAACGTCGGGCATATAATGCTCAAAGTATTAATAGAACGGAGTATTAATGCACCTGAATTCAAACCATCCTTAAAAGTAGACTATTCTGTATACAAAATCAAATAATTTTCCCTTTAGTCGATGTCAAATATGCACTGTAAATAAACATTTTAAAATGAAAAACTCGTTTCGGTAGTTGAACGGCGTCGTGTTTTGTTCCCACTGGACGAGAACACTCGAAAGACGTTATGCCAGGAAACGACCCCGTAATATTACTAAAAATGCGTGAATAAGAATAACGATTTACCATGGTGCATGCTGAATGTTCATTTGTAAAGAAATTCTAATTATTTAACACTAAATAAGTAATGTTGAAAACCAGAAGTTATCACAGTGACTTGTAATTTGCTTTTGTCCAGATACGTGAATATTTTGAAGATTTTTCATTGAATAAATGAAACATTTCCATAAATAAAAGAATATTCGGAAATTTATTCTTTATTTCGGATTTTTATCGGAATAATAAACATCAAACGACTGAAAAACTATGTATGGAAAATTAATGCTAAACTTTACAATTTACTAATAGTACACCAGAGTGAAAAATTTCTAAATTCGATTGTATTTCGTTAAAAATTTTTCAATAAATTGTTTTGAAAATTTAATAATTCTTTGCAATCTGCTATTTGTAACCTTACCTTCAACGAATTCTGTCATCTCTCTTGATTGTTTTGTCATCCGTGAAATAACAGATGGATCACACTTAATTCCAATACAATTAGCACCTTCAATGTCGATTGTCATCGAGGATGTTAGCAAAGTAGATTCAAAGCTTTGCTGTTCCAATTGATTAACGTCATTTAACTGATGAGAAGAAGAGATATTTTGTTCCGATATACTCTTTGTATGATCGAGGTTCTCGTCTTCCGATAATTCATGTTCTTCCTCTTCGTAGATAATACCAAGAGCATGACAGAGAACATCTAAACTCATCAGTTCCTGCTTTAGTGTTCTGTGAGCTTCGTTTTCCAATACCAAAATTTGTCTTGGAGTCAATGGAGCATAAGCATCTTCCTGGTGAACAGAATTATGAGAAATAAGATTTTGAAATATTTCTTGAAAATTACGTTAACTTAAACAATAAAATTAAATTTATGTTTAATAGTTTTATCATAAATTAACATAATGCCAATGAAGATGTTATTACAGGTTCATTTGAAAACAGAGGCAATAGAAAATGAACCCGATTACCATCACCAACGATAGTAATTCAATTAAGCAAGGCTAAATTCATATAATAATAAAAAAATGTAGAGTCAATTTAAATAGAACATTTTCATCTGATTGTGCATTACCAATAATCAGCTTTTAAGTGATATAAGGATTAACAAATTAGTTTGAAACAATTTAATTAAATTTCAACTTACGAGTGAAAATAATTCCATATCATCTGAGTCGTCATTGTCAGTCTCTGTAATACTAAAGATCATTTCTTGTTTACTTCTTTTCGCTGAATCTTCAGCGCTGATGCCATCGAGATTAATTGGGGAAGGCTGCTTTGTGTCACCAACAGCAGTTTCAGGATCAGAAACTAAAGTATAAAAGAAAACCCCAAAACACAGTCATTAGTAAACAGATGAATTCAAATATTATATATGAATTTGAGAGTAAAGCTACAAATAGATTACACGAAATAAACAGATCAAATGCGAACTGACAAAACTACTTAAAAATATTTAAGTTATATTTTATAATTTTACATTTGAATTTATTTTATATGAAAAGCTCAGAATTACAATAAATTTGCTTTGTTAATAACAATTAATAAAACTTAATTGGGTTATGTTTAAAAATTTGTTGAAATTTCATCAAGCTATAAAAGCATAAATAATTTTATGTTAATTAATGTGTATCAAGTGCAAATTATCACACACAATAATATTACAGAATGTTTATTGTATGTTGAGGTAAAATGTTTGCATCTTTACTAATGCATAATAAAAGCGCTTGAATATTAATAGAATTTAAAGAAAATAATCTATACAAAGATGCTATTTATATGGAATTTAAAGTTTTAGTTTAATAATTATTTTGCTTTTAAACAGAAAATTGTTTTTGTACTCGATAACTCACAATAAAAATTGTCAGTGAATAACTTAAAACAAATGCAAGATTTAATATTCTCTGTATAAGACATTCCGATAAATAAGTATTACTTCGATTTATTTAATATTGAACATTTCAAAGTTCTTTAATTAACAAATTTTCAAAGTTCTAAATGCAATGTCAGCAATGTCAGTTCGCATATCAGCGATTACCCATTGCTTTGTTCTGTCTTCTCGTTTAGTCTATCTCTTTATCACATTAAATTTTAATCTTTCTTTATACACTTCAAACTATATTAAGACGATCGTCTAAGTTTTGTATTTAAAATTTCATCACGTATATTTTGTCTCGGCTGCTGTACAAGACCGGGCCACAGGGGTAAAACCTTTGCTTTTCATCCCTGTTCATGTAGATATGTGAACATTTTTGTGTTTTTAACATTTTTATAACAAGTCATTTGTCAACATTTTAACACGTGCATTAGGAAAATCTTATTACGTAACAAATTTCCGGCTTTATCGCACGCCCTCGGTCCGAATTAGTGCGTTAAATCGAAGTTTAACTGTATTCTATTTCACGAATGAACGTACCAATGTAAATGGCCAGAACTGTGAACATCAAATGATCGGTGTCCATGGCTCTGCCTGTTTATACTGTTTCTCTATACTTGTTTTTTTTTTATTTGTTGCTACGGTGTATTACTTTTACGTTTTATCTATATTTATGTGCTTGGTGTTATATAAATAAATCGGCTCGGCTGCCTTAGTTTTAGAGATGCAGCCTCGACTTTCTCATCATTAACCCTGCGAACTGTTATTTGAAATACTGGTGCATGATCATTGACATATAAGTTTTTGTATTATATATTTAGTATGTTATTATTATTATTATACGTTTAAAGGAATTTACCATTAAAGTTTGGATCTGATACAACTTCACAGGTTTCAAATGAGGAAAGCACGTCGGTTTCCGTATTTGTTACTTCTTTCTGGGTGTTTTGTTCCGGTTCCGGGTTATTTTGCAACACATTTGGTTGCCCCGGATGTAGCAACGTTTCTGCTACAGAAGAATATTCCGATTGGTGTGTTTCCATCCGAAATGCAGGAAATTCTTCGAGAGGTTCACTTTCGTCAGTTTCTGCTTGTGGCTGATGCTGAAATGCCTGCAAGCCGTGATCCACGACTCCAGATGGCGGTCCGTAAACACCATCTTCACTTGGAAGTCGATAAGCAAGCATTGTAGGGGCTTGCTGGTGTGGAAAATATTGAAAATATAATCCATATCCTTCTGGCAGGACATACTAAGGAATTAAACACAGAATTGATTAGTTATAAAAATATCAAATACTGAATGTATTTTTAATTGCTAATGGAAGCATTCTAACATCACTTTGTATAATTTATTTTCAATGAATTGAATTTTAATTTTTTGCTGTACAAAAGAATAAAAAAACTAATAATATAATAATTTGAAAATTTGCTCCATAACATTTCAAATATTATATTGCTTTATAAGCAGTTTGACTTTAAACGAAAAGAATTTTTTATGACAAATTTTTTTTTCTTCGGGAACGTTTATATTTTGTTACACGAGTGTATATTTAGCTTTTGATTTAATTAATACAAATAAGAAGCTTTTAGTTTTAAATCTCGGTCATCAAAACACCAATTATTGAAATTCTTATAAATATTAGCCAGTCACTCAGTAAAATAAGAGACAAGAAACACCGTAATCTTGATATTAAAGACATATATTAAAACACTATTTTTTACAAAATCATAAGTTTTAATTCATTTTAAGCTTCTGTATCTGGCAAATACTTTGTCTAACTTAAAATTGTTATGTCTTTTGTCTTTTGTCTCATGAATTCTTACGTGATTAACTTAGGATTAATTAAGAATTCCTATTGACATGACATTGTAATCGCTAAATCATAGAATTTTCTGCCCACCCTCTAAATATTTCTGCATTCGTTATTGTGTTTGTTTATAGTATTTTAAAATTTCTCTTTTCACTTACCTGATAATCGTAAGTTACGTAGAAACCATCTTCGTATCGGAAAATAGTTTCGATACAAAAGCATCCAATATCTGTAAACAATAATTTTATAATTATTAAATGTCAGTCGATAATTTTATAGTTATTAAATGGCAGTCGGTAATTTTCTGCTTTCAATCATCTCATTGAAATGAGAAAATACATTAAGGATATTCGTCATAGTTTACAAGAGAATATTTTTATTTATTTTCTAAAAGTTATATTAATAATTGCGGTGAATGAGATACTTTTATTTATATTAGCTATCTGCGGTCTTCTAATGAATATAATTGTAATTACAGTATATATAATAAGATAAGGTAAGCTTACTAATTGTATTCATATTAAAAAAATTATTTCGCATGAAATGAAAGCGCATCGAATAAACTCCGACAAAAAGCTTAACTCGCTTCGACAATGGCCAAAACTAGAAGCAGTTATTGTTAACGCAACAATACACGACATAAGTATTGTTGCGCGGCGCGTCCGACGCGCGTCACGCGCGCGATAATCAGTTAATTGCTTATTTCAATAAATGAAAAACCTAATATAAATATATCGGAGGGTTAGCGCTGTTTAACATTACTATTTTTTGTATATCATACTGGTTTTGCTATTATTTGTTCGTCAAAAACTTGGCTACGAATCTCGATTTAATATTTTTCTTCGGCGTGTCGCGTGGCATTGCGTTTCTTCATTATTTGTCATTATTTGTTAGTCTTTATTTATAATGGCTTTGTGTCCACCGGTGAGGATAAGTAAAAGTAAAATAATGATGTCAGTAAAGAATTTTGAAACCACATTCCTTTGGCTTCTTACTTATTTTGAATTTTGTATTTTGTATGAAGCGGCTGAATTATCTGTAAATCTATCTCTTAGAATCGTAGGAAGATTATACACTTTTCTCCTGCTTGTTTTTAATCATTAGAAAATTTAAACTGATGACGTAAAGTCTTTTTCAATTAAAGAATTTAGTGACAGATTGAGAGGTAATAGTTTTGAGTGTAGAGAATCCGTTAAATATATGATTGGATGGACTGCTGTTTCAGCATGTTTCCGAAATTTCGCACGAGCCTACTTCTTCAACTTGTCAATTGAGAGTTTTTTAGTTATTTGATTTGAAATTCTCTTTCATATTAATGCTATAAGCAATTCTCTGCAAAACAGCACATCCACATATGTGAAGATATAGAAGCAATAAACAGTTGTATTCAGTTTTAGTCGCATACAAAGAAAACACTTTCGAACAATCTATTTCAAGTGCTACTGAAAATGCTAATTTACTCGATGTTGAGCCTGGAGTTTGAAAACAATAATATATGATAACTTAGCATAATTATGAAAGTAAAAAACACACGAGACAATTCGAAATCGTATTTTTCAATACATTGCTCGACACAAACGTAACGTCAGATCTACAAAGTTTTGAACAGTTAGGGGAGATCGGGGCAAGATCGGCATGTTAAGCTTTACTTAAATTTTGTGTAATAAATACTGCTGTAAACTGAAAAAAAAAGCTTTGCATATTGTCTATTGGAATGTTACCTTACTATAGAACTGGTTAAAATCAGTTTGGAAATAAAAATAATTAAAATAATTACAACTTTACAAGAAGAGAGAAATTGACGAAGTTGCCCCGGGTATAGGGGCAAGATCGGCAACTTCTCTCTTTTTGTAAAGTTGTAATTATTTTAATTATTTTTATTAAAGTTGCCCCTGGTATAGGGGCAACAGTAATGGGGCAAGATAGGCACGTATATAAAATTATGTTATTAACAATGTATAAGTTGGAATTCACTATTAAAACAAAGAAATACAAATCCAACACCCATTTAATATTATTACAACGAAATGCAAGTTCAAAGACATATATACATGAATAACAAATGCAAACATGTTTTCATTTATCATCTGTTTGATTTTTATCCTTTGCTTCTAATGTGGCTTTATGTTGCCGATCTTACCCCGCTAGTCATGATTTCGAAACATTAAGTACAACCCTGAGAACAGAATGCCAAGCCACGATCTGGCCACGTGAATAAGTTGAAGTTACATCCTTCTAACAGGAAAAGTAACTTTCGTTATCATGGAATTATAACAAAACCTGCCAATTCAATATAAATGGAAAAAAAATATTATATGGAATTGAACGAAAATGAAAATTTGCTTGATAATTCAACTACGCTTGTTGGAGAACAATAAAAACACTACACTCAACAAGCCACCAATAAAACTCAACTGCCTAACCTATAACCAAAGTCTCCTTTTAATTTGTTTTTTAAAAAAAGCGCTTGACAAACTTGCCCCGCATGCCGAAGTTGCCCCGATCTCCCCTACATAAGCTCGCAAAAATATACAATATCCTGTATACGATAAATACGTTCACGGAGAAAGCTATACGAAACCTGTAAGTAGCAATAATCAATATTAGTACAGTGTCAGATATTCGAGGAGATCCTCTGTGACACTGTACTAATATTGATTATTGCTACTTAGAGGTTCCGTATAGCTTTTGGTTTTTGATCGTATTTGAATTTATTTAATATAAAATTATTTTCTCGATCTCAAATTAGTAGTGTCTTGCCTCTGTACGTCATACTTTTCCTACAATGACATAATCGTACCAGTCATCCATGTAACCCCATTCTGGAAAAACATTTTGAATTGAAATCACGTTACTCCCGTTTTAGACTTTCAGCTTGTATATAGTTAATCCGGGCCTTCTGCCCCCATTTTTTCCAGCCCCTGTTTTTATTTTCATCTATCTAACACGATTCTCGAGATCAAGGAAGGACAGACGGTGGCAATTTATAGTTCTTCAATTTTTTCTAATTACATCCCAATTAAAAAACTTATATTTAACATATTTTACTAATTTTGATTATTGTTTTAAAAGTGAAATTATGTTAATATTCTGCGTAATATTTGATCACACGTATTTAATTTAATTAATATATTTAAAATTATTATTATTATTTTTCATTGATAAAAATATTTTTTCTTTTTCTAGGAAAGACGAGCGTGTTGGCAGAGTTTCGTGCAATTTCTTCGCCGACTGCCATTTTTGGTCCTTCCTTGCTGGAAACCGCCAAACTAACGCGGTTGATACGAAAGGAACCAGAAAAGATTCCAACAAATGAATCTCGGGGCATTTCGAGAAATTTAAAATTAAAATTTGCAAATCAATAAATTGTGAATTGATTTAATTTAGTTATTTTAAAATTTATTATAAAACTTTAATTATTCTTTCATAAAATGTATGATCTGTTTAAGTCATATAAATTAAGTTTCTAATGAATTAATCATTAAATAAAGCAATTTTTATTGGCTGATTGATAATAAAATTAAAGTTTAATTCACTTTGTATGAGGTTTTTCTTTTTTCCTCGCAAAAATTTCATTATATCTAAAATCAAGAATAATGACAAAATGATATTCATTCTCGTTTAGATATTTCTTCAGCTATTTTAAGATCTCAAAATAAGCATCTAAAAGTTTTTAAATAAACTTCAATATATGACATTAAACGTGTATGTGTATGTGTGTAAAAATGACCGAAAACTTAGAAAATTATTTTTTAAATTTTGCATTCACTTAATGTTGTAAGATATTAATTAAAGTATTTTAAATAATATATATCTAGAAAAATCATATGGTAACGCTTTTGACCTATGGTTGATTTCTTCACATGAACAATAGCAACGTGTTTATATTTAACTAGCTGTACTCGCGGATTCGCCCGCGTGGATTTTGCAACTTATAGAAATAACTCCCGTCGGTATTTCACTAAGATTCTCATTCATTAGTTGTTACTAATTTGGTAAAATTACTGATTTTTGTTTGTTTCAAACTATACACGAAACACATTTTAGTAAAATCAATCACAAAGTACAGCTCGAAGTCTTTACTGTGCTGAAGTTTATTTTTCCTATTTATTATCGCGGCGACATTGCTTCATTCAAAATTTTTTGTAATTGTAGTCTGTGTAATGTGTATTTTATTCACATATCGACTCCTATTGTCAAAAGTTTCCTCTACTTAAACGTTTTTTCTGAGCTTCACTTTTTCAACCTGGTTCCATTATTTTTTTACGGGATTACTTAATTAAAAGCAATTATTTTCTCATTTTTACAAGGCTTTTTTTTTATTTAAACAAGTCATATGAACATTAAGGTTTTGGACGTTAAGGTTGGCAACTTCCACCACATGCGTGGCCATTGCAACCAGAGGCAGATCTAGGTTTTTCTGGGCCTAGGGCTTATTGAAGTCCAATGGGCCCCGTTTTTTTAACACAAATAATACTATAAGTTATCATTATTATTATAGTCTATCATTAATATTAACTATTTTTTACTATACGGCAAGTGCTCATTGTTAAAATTGTTTTAATATTTTTTCATTGTGATTTATGAAAAGGTATTTATGATAATAATTCAATTTTTGTGGGCCCTTGACACTTGGGGTCCCAGGGCTTAAACCCTCTTAGTCCCTATGTAGATCGGCCCTTGGGTGCAGGGATCGCTTCTTTCCTTCCGGCTCCACTTCAATTCTATCGCGATACGCCAAATCGCGCGATGTCCTAGTTTGATATAAGTAAAACGAAAATATAAATTATTTAAGTTTGTGTTTTAATTTTTAATAACCGAAACTGCATTTCTAATATATTTACATCATTTTTAAAATTGCTATGATAACAATTCTGAAATTAATAAATATTGTTTAAGATTTTCTCTTTAAATTTTTTCTTGGTAATGACATATTATCCTTTAACCAAAAGAAACTTTCCAAAAATTATTTCCGCTCTGCGTACTAAAATAGTATCGTTTTTTTACTGTAGGTTTGGGCAGGCCCACAAAGGTTAATCCAGAAGAATGGTGTGCCATACTATTATCTGAAAACTTCTGAATAGACAGGATTCAAACCCGAACTCCCCAGCACGACAGGATGGTGCCTTTATCCCTCAGCATTCTGGAAAACGTCTTTTTAAAGTTTGTTTACAAAATTGTGATTGAAGTTGAATTATTCGTCGTATTTTTAATTCCAAAGGCAGTCCCAAACATTGTCCACGTTAAACTTTGTTAACATATTCTATTACGAGATTAAAAATTTTTGGTTCCGTCAATTAAATTTTTGATGATATCCTTTATATTTCAAAATTTTTGGGTATATAAAAATGGAAGCTTTCAGTTTTCATATATCTAAAATTCTGATGAAAAATACCTACATTAACCCATGCAGAATTGAAGAATACAGTATTAGTTTTTCTTATTTATAAAGTTATCAAATGTAATATTTTTGTTTGCAATTAATTATTAAATATACTGTGTAATCCTAATTAAAGTATCTCTATTCAAGACTATTTAGAGAAATATATAGCAATCTAAATACGAAAAAATTTGGTATAGTGGCATTCAAGACATGTGTAAGGTATTTCCGTAAAACAAAAAAAATTAGTACCAAAACTCACTAGTATAAAACTACCCAAGGCACGCTTGTTTTATGCCTTGCTGGAACAATGATGAAATAATAATAATAATGCTACAAGTGCACTTTGAGAGTGTCGATGTCTTAAGAAATTGCATGGTAGGCCTTTGACACCTCTCGCAGAGCCACAAGATCCGTAGTGATGAATTTTGGAACTAAATTTTTTTTCCCCGAGAAAATCTCTTCTGCATGTCCTGAAACCACAGCATGCAGAATTTAGTTGCATTTGTGCTGTTACCTATTCCTCCACACATTAAATGGAGTACTTGAATTATTATCATTTTGTACATTTATAGGAAGTAGATGGCGACTATACACTAATTGATCTAGATTCTGTAAATTTATCGGAAAATATTTAAGTTTTTATGAATTTTATGAATGTGGATAAAATCTAAAAAATGCATACGTGATTTTAATTCTAAACTTATTGCCGGTGTAGAGAAACAGTTAAATACAATTAATTATAAATAAATAGCATATTTTTCTTTTTATTCAATGCAAATTTTTTCAAAATAATCCCAATCAATCATTTGAAAATAAAAAAATTATTTTCTAATTTATTCTAAACTTAATTTATTAAACAACATTTCCGTGAATAAAATAGTAATAAAATACCTGAAAATACAAGGAAGTTGTCTTGAATATTAACGAGTATGATTTCAGTTTTAAAGATATATTTTACTTTTCCGGCTGTTTTTTTAAAGTCTTCTCGTCCTGAGACGACACTAAGAGGGCCTTTTTTTTTTTTTTTTTTTTGAG